GGGTCAGGTCAAATCTCCCTCCATCACATTCCAAGACATTAATTTCATTTTCACCATCAAACACCCCACTCCTCCCTTATTAGCTTTCAGGTGAGTCCATTCACTCTTCCTAGGCAAATTCCTCTTCCCGCCCTTCTCCTTCGTTCACACCTCTCCTACCATCTCCCACTGCTTTCCTTTATTACATTCTTCCCTCTTATTCCTTTTGAATTGTTCAATTGCCTTTCTAACCACCCTCTCCCCATCCAAGAAGAATAATCCAAGTGATTTTCCTACCTCCACTTGTCTTTCCATGAATTATTCAATCTCCGCCCTCCCTTCAGCAGTATTTTCTTTGCCAAAAAAAAATCCCCTCTTCCGAAACCTTCTGTCACCTCACCACCCTCCTTTATTTCCTCTGCCCCCTTCCTGCTAACATCCACTTCTCCCCTTGCAGCCCCAATCCCTACACTTCCCTGTTAATGAAAATCTTCTCTTTCGACTATGCACTCTAGCGTTGTTCATTTTTCAGAATGTCAATTGCCCAAGTAAATGTTTCCTAGGAAACACTTACCCAGGTAAGTTCACTTACTTATCTTCTTTTAATTCCCAGGCAAGTTGTATAATGACTTATTAAACCATAAAAAGCCAATGTTAGATTGGGCAAACATGTCCCATTATGTTTTGCAAACTTTCCCCGCATGTTGGAATTTTACTTACCCACTTGGGAAATGGAAATCACTTACTTGAAAACAACTTTACCGTGGGGCCCAAAGCTTACCAAAAAAGAGCATTGTAAAGATGGTCGATGGAAATCACTTCCCCATTGACCAATTGTCCCCCTCCTATTTCCTGAAAAACAAACAATTTCCCCAATATCCTCAAGTCCGTCACACTCCCCATGTGGCCTCCTCTTCAAATAGTTTCCCCAACTAGCCCTTTCAACTCCCCTTCTCCGAATATCCTCTTTAATATTGGAGACTATCAACCCAGACAAAGAGGGAAGAGGAATCAAACTTACTCGGTGTTTAGTTGTTCAACTGTCTCAAAGGTCTTCAATCCAGGAGGGTATCTTTCCACACCCTGCACCTTAGCCTCCAAACTTCCGTTAGTGACACCGGCTAAGATATCATCACCACATGAAGAAATGTTCTCAACTTCAACATGATTTTCTAGCGATTGGGCTTCGACCAGTGATCCTCCTTGTGGTCTGAAAACGCCTTTTATCTAGATTGCCTTTCAAGCCACCTGAACATTCTCTTGTTGAGCATCTTCTATCTAATAAGAATCATTCACTGTCGCCTTCATCTTCCTTCCTTAAGTTTGTGAGATTTTCTTATCTTTTTCGAACATTGTTACAACCAACACCCATTCATCCTTCACAATCCCCAACCTTCTACAATTATTATCCCCTTTTGGACCCTCAGTCTCAACATAACTCGACTTATTTCCCAAAAATGCCCCTCATAAATTACAACTTATTTCTCTAGTCCTTGTTCTTTAACCTCCTTGTTCTTTTGAAAAAGTGAATCCACAATCCCCCAAAATGCCCCTTTAAGCTCCTTGTTCTTTTGAAAAAGTGGATCCACCCCTTAAATCCCTCTTACTTTCACCAACTAACAATTATTGCTTCCCCCTTCTCCCCCACATCTTGCCCAACTGTTGGTCTTCCACCACTTTGCATGACTCACCCACCACCTATCTTCCATAAAAACCGCCCAACTCCACTCCCACCAAATCATCCTCTCTCTCCCCTCTAATATTGCCACCTCAACTTCTTCCTCCATACAACTCTCCAAATACCTCTCTTCCTCCAACTTTTGCTTAGCTGATTAGCTCTGAAGCCAATGTGACCTTCAACACCCACCCTTCACGATGTTTCCTTCCTCACCCCTTTACCAACATTGTCTCTTGCTCCACTCGTTCACATTCTCCTCTACTCTAAGAAAGGTCCCATCTTCCCCTCAACCAGAATCATCAATGAATACCTTTCCCAAGCAAAAATAAGGCCAAGACTATATGGAATGGCTGAATGGCTACCACCTCAATCATCCTTGCCAGGTCCAACTTCTCCCACAATCTATTCTTATCATTAATCTTCAAAAATTTGTCACAATGATTTCCCACTTCTTCGGAACTCAGAAGTTAATAAGCTCCAAGCATGCAAAGGAATACTTGCCACCCCAATCCAAATCATGTGTCTTCTCCTATTTGCATAGACTTCCCTTACCGCCAAGTACCACCAATCTAATCTCAACTCAAAATCTCTCTTCTTTGAACTTTTAGTCTCTAAAACCCACTCCACATACTGTTTGTTATGGAACATAAACAATAACTAACCAAACTCACCTGTAAAACTCTCATTATTCCCTCCATTTTCCCTACCTATCTAACATCCACAAATTGTAGTGAGGTGTTGTGTTGGAGTATAGTGTCCACTTGTTGCAAGGTTTTAATCAAATTTTTTGGGGTTTGAGGTTTTTGGTTGTTGGGATGAGTAGGTTACTGGTCTTTCAATTTGGAGGTCAGGAAATGGTTGTGCAATTATGGTTATTTGTAAGGTCTATTTGGTGACTAGTGACTACTTCTCAGTTTGGATTTGGTGAGTTTTGTTTGTTGGGGTTTTTCTTTGGTTGTAAAGGTCTGAGATTCATGTTGGAATGCAGTAGGGTGTAGTAGTCTTCTTTTTTCTTCAGGGTGACCTCTGGTCACCTTTTTATGTAATCTATTTTTTCCCAAGTTGATAGGATTTTACATTCCAAGAAATAAAGTGATGTTGTTGAAAAGGTCCATTTATGTGCTGAAATAGTCACCAAGATCTTGGTCCAAGAGGTTCAGAAATGTTGTTCAATCCCAAGTTGATCAACCCTTTTACCAAAAAATAAGAGTAACCGATTGCTGCACATATTATTTTTTTGTAAGTAGATAGCCTCACATATTGTTTATGTAGATGGTATTGTAGTTATGGGTAATCATCCTTAGGAAATAACAAAATGAATTTGTTTCTTTTTTGCAGTTCACCTTAAAAACTCATTCTAGGGAACTTTTCATTTCCAAACAGAAATGTCCTTAGTTTGTTAATACAAGCAAGTTCAGAGTTAAGATTGTGGAAACTCCTATTAACCATAACCACAATTTTTTATCAGTAACTCAGAAGGAATATCATTAAACTTATGAGCAAACATAAGAACAAGAAGTTGTGGAGTAAACAAATAGACTTGACAATGTCTAAATCCCCCCACAGAATTCAAACGAGCCCAAAACATAGGTTGTCTCTGAACCCCTTGCTTAGCTAGACCATCTGCCAAGTTGTTTGCAAACTTTCTAACCCAATTAACTTGAATGAGCATGTCCTTTGAGAGCCAGTTGAACCGTCTGAGATCATTCCTTAGATGTCAAGACACCCCTTCCCCTTTCTTTAACCAGTCCACAACTATTCTGGAATCACCTTCAACAATTAACCTTTTGAAACCCAATTCTTTGGCTTTATCTACCCCAAAAACAGCTGCAAAGAATTCTGTTGTAGCAACATCATCACCTTGCTCAATTGGACCTGAGAAAAAGGCATGCATCTTTCCTTCTTCATCCCTTATTACCCCTCCAATTCCGGATCAGCCTGGATTGCCCACACAACTCCCATCAAAGTTCAGGTTCATGAGGAGATCATTCCACTGCTATCATCTGTCTTCTAGAGGATGAGTCAGCAATAGACCCACAAGACCTAAAGAAACCATCAACCTTAAAATCAGAGAAGAGTTTAACCTAATCACAATTGATGACTAGGAAAAAAGCTACCTGAAGATAAGGATAGTGATTAACTGAGCATTACACTTTGTATAATTTCACATTTTGACTATACGCATCTTATATAGTTAGCATAGTCAACCAATAAACACATCAAGCAGCGGTTCCATATATAAAAGTCACTAAAAGGATTTTAGCCAATCTGAAAGATACTCTAGGTATGGGAATTTTATATCCAATCATGAGCATCTAAAAGTGGAAGCTTTATGGATGCTAACTAGGCAAGCAAACTGATTATACATGCACAATATCTAGAAATTGCACCTTTATTGGAGGTAGTGTTCTAGCACACAAGGTACAAGGTGAGGTGTAGGCCCAGATGAAGCAAGGCAATTTTTTAAAATATTCAAAAAAAAAGCATTAATATATGAAAGGAGTGGAAAACCTTAATTTTAAAAGAAATTAAATGTTTTAAACAGCATATTAGCTCAAATTAAAATGGGTGAGAACAACATATAAGACAAATTCAAGGTACAAACAAAACCAAAAAGATGTACCAAGGTGCCTCAAGCACTCAACAATTCAATCATGTGAACTCTAGCATGTTTGTCGATATCCTATTTGCACTGCTTCTATAAGCATGTTTGTATGTGTGTATTTTTTTTCTTGAGGAATTTGTTGCTCTTTGGTGAAAATTTTGCTATCTAAGATCCTATCAGCAATGACTAAAGTTCCAGGTATTCAAAAGGTTTGTTTTCCATTCTTTTAAAAGTTAATAGACCATTACAAGGCTGTAAAACACATAAAGAATGTGGGGAAAAAAAAACTTATAAAAGGGGAATGCACAGGCCAAGGCACAAGGCACGTTCTCATGCTTGTCAACCCAAGATTTTGCCATTGCAAAAAGAAATGGCCCCTAGGTTGTTCCTGAGTCCAAAACTAAGATGGACCAGACCACCCCGACTAACCAGATCAGCTTTTGGCCCAGGTCTTAACTTTTAAGGTTTTGGCTTTCTCATTAGAAGATAAAAAATACAGTACAACCCCAACTCAACAGCGAACTGAGAAATTTAATAATCATGAAAAAATGGCATAGAAAATATGTGACCAGCATATGTAACTAATACAGACAAGTTCATATGTATAATCATTTTCATTAAGATTTCCCACAGCCAGAAAATATGCAAATAGGTTCTTCTAATGTGTGAACGCTTGCTTAATGCAACCACGTCAAGGTAAGAAATCCCCACAAACTGAAAAATAAGGATGCCTTAAACCTTTTTCCTATAGAAGGCAACACCATGAACATTAAATGGTATTTTCCTATTGCGGAAGGCTATTTGGAATGCTTTCCCAGAGACCTGCAGAAGATGAGAAGGTAGATTGGTCATTAGACATCCCATTAGTAATTCATGAATATTAGGAATTCGTTAACACCTTACCTGCCTCCGATAAAGAATTGCTATACTCCCGAAGGAACACTTAGCATCTGAACCATTAGAGACAATTTCCATGATTTTATCAACGACAAATGCACACTGTGCATCTTCATTGTGGCATTCCTTGACAATTACCTGAACATTGTCAAGCAGACCATGCATTTACATAAGCAGTTAAAACTTAAAAGTAGAAAGTTAAAAATAAACCTCATTAGCAAAAATACCTTACAACCAGAAGAATTATCAGTAGTAACTTGTTTTAGTTGGCACCGTTTTACATTATTGCGGATAAGCGATGATGCAGCCTCAACAATATATTGTGTGGAGCGATAGTTTTTAGTTAACCGAATCTGAAACCATCAGGACAAAAAATTGAAAATATATGGGCCAAACATGATGGAGTCAAATAGTTAGTTGATAGAGTCATCACTGTTAAATATCTACATCTACATCTACATCTATATCTATATCTATATCTATATCTATATCTATATCTATATCTATATCTATATCTATATCTATATCTATATCTATATCTATATCTATATCTATCTATATTTATCTATCATAAGAAATAAATACCTCTTTGTGTCCAGGGAAATCCTTACGAAATGAATCAAAGCCAGAAACATCAGCCCCATTGAAACTGAAAATGGACTGCAATAAGATACACAACTAATTGGACTTCAGAATACTCCTTAAGTAAATAACAAATGATGCCAAAAGAAAAAAAAAATAAAATAAGATTATGCCAAAAGATTTCTTCCATTCAATATTCAACAAGAAAAAGGAAGCACCTGATCCTCATCACCAACAATTGTAATGCAGTTATGAGATGCAAGAATCCTCAAGAGTTTATATTGCATTGCACTTGTATCCTGAAACTCATCTATTACCAGGGCTTTCCATGTATTTTGGCACTCACAGTAAACTGAAATTTGCAAAATATTTGTCAAGACAACAGACAATTATGAAGTAGAATGGTCCAATAAATCTACAGACTATAATAACCTTCAGGAAAATCAGTAAGCAGCTCCACTGAACAGATGATTAAGTCATGGTAGTCCAAAGCATTACAGGATTTCAAGATGTCACTGTAGTTCCCAAGAATTGCTGCCTGATTCAAATGTAGAGATATGAAATTTTGAAAATATTAAGAAAGTCAGTATACATTCTAGCGATATAATATCAACTTACTCCAATCTCATCACCCAGTTTTCGGCACTCTGAAGGAGTTCTACCAGAAGCTTTAGCCTGAAATGAAGTTCATTTACCAGATTTAGCAATAAAACAGTATAGATATGCAGAACCTCCACGACCAGACACCTTCAGTACACTACCAGGAGGTATAAATAGAAATAGAAAAGAAGAAAAGAAAAGATGACTCTTCATTACTTCCTATCTGCAACATTGGCATATTGAAATGTTTTTGGCCTATTACGAGTCTAATGTATTTAACACTTTTTGAATATCCTGTACGATAAGGAACTTGAGAAAACATGGAACTACATCGTTAACAAACATGCCCTACAAATTAACAAAGTTTGCCATAAATGAATCTTATTTGTATTGGATCTTACAACTTAGAAACTTAAAGAGTGTTTGGCAAATATTATGGATATTCATTAAGGCTTTATTTAGTTTGTAGGAAGATTTTGGTGGGATGGAAAAGGAAAAGTGGGTGCAAAGATTTCGTGTTCCATTGTTTGGTTGCACAGGGGAAAACAGTGGGAGTGTCAGCACCAAAAAGAAAGTGTTCTTCTTTCTATTTAATCAATAGAAAGCATTCTTCTGTTTACGGGCATAGTTTGTGTTAGACAAGCCTTCCCCTCCTTTCCTACTTTTCTCGCACTAAAATGGTGTTACTCCACTTCCTAAAAATTGAAAACTACAAGCCAACTATTTCCTAGCCATGTAATAACATCTCAGAAGCAACAAAAGGGAAGAAAATAATATTAGAAAATAGTCCTTTTATACCATCCCCTCCTGCAAACTAAACACAGCCCAAGGAAATGGTGAAAAGTTCATAACTTTAGAAAAATGTTGAATTCAGTGCCTTAGTTTAATTTCACAGATGTGCACATACTAAATCAGGAAGATAATTTGAAGAACTATGCCCCCTTTAATTGTTTAACCTATCATAGCGCAGGATTCTAACATGGTTACATGCTTCAAGTCCACACAACCAAACACTTAAAATGGACGAAAACAATGATCACAAGGAGAAGTTCAGTAAGATTAACAGTCCAGGGGAAGGAAAAAAGTCTTATCATAAGTACTTAAAAGGGAGTCTGAACTAGTATAAATCCACATAATTTCCATCCAGGCATAAATAGCAATAAGAAGTATAGAAGTAACATTACATACCTGAATCAAAAACTTCTGCCATTTTTTTGACCTACCCTTACAATATTCTAAACCACTTGAATCTTCATTAAGTTCCCAAGAAACAAGATTTTGTTCATTTTGTTCATTCTTTCGTGCATTTTCCAATAATCGCACCGCCTCAATGATTGCTCGCCTCTGTTGCCCATGGCCATATACTAGGAACTCGGATGTGCGTCCCAACCTGCACATAAGTTAACAAATTAGTAGTTGTGTAATTACCATATCAGCTGAGAAAAGCAAAGTTAAACAGCATTAGAGCAGTTGGAGAGAAGTTTTTTTACAGTACAAAAAATAACCATAAAATATTCTTCTAAGGGCAACAGAATCTAAGAAAATAGCATATATAACTGTAACCACTCATGTTAATGTTGAACAAAAGAACATTATTAAAAATTTAAAGATTCAAGTTTTTCGTGCGTAAAAAATTTAGAACTCTCAATTATCATTGACAAAATATGCATACTTCTCTGCATGTGAACGACAAAGTTGCAAACAGAACGAATGGAACGTGCTGATCATAAGCTCCTTTGCAACTAACTTCCCAGTCACTGCTCCAATCCGATCCCTCATCTCAGATGCAGCTGCCGTTGTAAAAGTCATGGCGAGAATATGTGATGCTCCAATACCCTGAAAATACAGGAAGGGGTGGGAAGTAATGCCCAGTGTGTTATGTGCCTTAGGAGAACTGCCCCTAAAAGCTAGCTGTTAGAGGGAGGGAACCCAAGCATATATATACCACAGAACAGTATCCCATACTACCGATGTGGAATATCTCACATTAGCATCCCATACTACCAATATGGGACAAAGGGAATGTAACACAGTGGATCAAATTTATAATAAAATCCAAGGAGTTTAATGTGTCGTTACCTCATTTAGCAGTGTCAACACTCGCCCAACCATAGTTGAAGTCTGAAACCAAAAACAAGAAATGAAGTCCATGCTTACATGCAATAGAAAATTAAAAAAAAAAAAAAAAAAAAAAAAAAACAGAAATTAACAGATGTTAGAAATGGATCTCGTCCCATTAAAACGCGTACCTTTCCACTTCCTGGACCTGCAATGATCATTAAAGGAACTGAAACATCACTTAGAGCAGCTTCCTGTTGTTTGTCATTAAGACCCCGCAAATACTCGGAATATGTTTGCGGCAAGCCCTCACTCTCGACGTCCGGAGAAGCATTTATCCCATCTGCTTCTGCTTCTGCTTCTGCTTCAACCCTTAACACTCCCTTAGTTTCATCACTGGAAGTGTTCTCATTGGATTGCCTCCCCACAAGATGATCGCTACAAGCATCCTGTTTTTCTTTCTCTATTGTAGCAGACTCTAAACTGCTTTGATAACCCGCTCTATTCTCATTGGACTGACTTTCCACGGGAATATTGTTACATAGGTGCTGCTTCTGTAATTTTTCCGCTGACCTCTGCTCGCATAATGCATCAATCTCCTTCAAGACAAGCTCGTCGATATCATCATCAAGAACACTAGTCGAACAGAAAGCATCGCTTAAATTACAGCTTTCGAGTTGCTTATCCGGGGTGATAACAGATATCATCACAACCCCATCTTCCTTGGAAACCTCCTGGACCCCGGTACCAAATTGCGCATGTTCAATAGCGCTCTTGATGGATATCCTTTCAGGGCATGATCTAATGAACTTGTCGTTTGTTAATCGGGCTCCCTTTATCGGAATTGGGGAAGGGGTGTTTACGGGTATCTCTGCAAGAGGAAGTCTGGAGTTGCTAGACGCCGGAGCCATCGGATACAAACTGTGCGCCTCCCTATTGATGAAAGCAGAAATTAATCAAAACATTCAAATGTAGATTAGAACTAAGGATTGAGAAATGAGAGAGTAGGTTGACTAACTTTCCAGGTGTTCGGAATGGGATAGTTGCGACATCGCGGGGCCTCTTGCGAGCGAGAAGTGCCTTGGCGGCCCTGAAATTCTGCGATATTCGAGTTTTTTGTTCAGCTGTAAGTCCTTCGCTGGGCAGTGGCAGCGTCTCGGACGCATTTTCCTTGCTCATTCTTTGTTCCAGAGTGATGGTGAGGTCCGCAAATCCACCCAGATGAGACGAACCATCCCTTTCGTGCTTGATTTAAAGCAGCCTGTTACCATTTCTAGCCCTAGGCGACGCGGAAGAAGCCATTCCTCGTTGTTTCGAGCGGAGCGACTTAACATTTTCTCTCTTCGCGCCCTTTCTTCTACTTTTAAATGAAGCGTCTTGAACACGTTTCAATCCATGAGGTTACTGACAATTATAAAAACCTCCCCTTAAATTACAAAGACCCCTGTACTATGGTTCTGTGACAAAAACCCCCATTTACTTTGTTTTACGACAAAGACCCTCCTATACTATGACCGTGAGACAAAGACCCCCTTCTGTTAGCCTTCTGTTCAAAAAGGCTGTTATAATATTTTTTAATTCCCACATTACCCTTGTAATAACTATTCAAGTAAGGGAGAAAAACACTGTTCATCCTCCCCGACCTTACGATACACGAACAACAGCGGCGGTAATCCCCTCTACCTCTGATTCCTTCACATTTCTCTCTCCCTCTCTCTCCTCTCTCTCTCTCCCCCGATCTCTCTTCTTCCCCTTCTTCATCATCTACCACCACAACAATGTCACCATTCTGCATGTCATTTGCATCAATAATATCCAAGTCCTCACCCCAATCACCATCAGCAGCCTCTTCATCATCTTCCTCTGCACCCATTCATGCATTATCCAGTCCACCCTCAAAGACACCTTTCATAACCCTCAACAAGGGCCAATCTCCTCCACAAAGAATAGGTGATGGAGGCATCAGAAGCAATAGTACTCTCCCCTCTGGCAAGGTTGGAACATTATCTCCCAATTCAGCTGCAAGACGTTCAACAACATCTTGGAGACCATGGACAACAACAGTAACATATGCAAGGGGCAAATGGCCAGCATTCTCCAAAATCTTGGCACACTCCTTGACATCACCCAAGTACAAGGCATTATGAAATTGGCCCATAACATCATTTACGTTTTCCTTTTCCGACTTGTTTCTTTATATTACCTTTTTTCACCTCCATCTCACTCTGTCCTTGGTTGAAGTCTTGAAGACATAATCAAAGGGTACCGGTAAACCCACTTTCCTACATTTCTTTTGATGTAGTGCGATCTGATTACTCCCTGCTGGAGGATGATCTGGCTTCTTGTTGGGCGGCGAGCTAGGTGATTCTGCAAGAAAGGATCAGAGAACCTGGGGTGGCTAACCCGGCGAGGTCGCTCCGATGCTTAAGTTAGTAAACTAATGCGAGCTGAAAAGCTTAGAGAGCTAGAGAGTAGAAAAATCACGCGTACCTTGCACCATTGGGGTTGGTGCCTTTATATACTAAAATAGTCGTAGAGCTCACGAAAGAGCTCCGGGATATCCGAGGTGTGGAGATAGAGTTCGTTCCGCTTCCGAATGAGCAATATACAGGTAAGGCTTATCGTTCCACTTCCGACTCTGGCGAAGTCAGGATGAGTCCTCATCGTAATCTCAGAAAAGTCGGGATCTATTAGCTCATCGTGATCTCGAGAGATTCGGGATCCGTTGGAGAGACCTCTGGAGTTAGTTACGCGGGAGTCAGTTACATGGCGATTCGAGTTGTTGGTCCCGAGCTGGTACTTCAGTCTTTTAGTTCCGAACTGGATTGAATGCCAAGGTGCCTCAAAGCCGAAGTGAGCCTTATGCCGAGGTGACTGAATACCCGAGCTCAATTGTTGCGAACTAAACTTGGTAGGCTAAGTTGTCATCTCTTGGTCAGGTCGTGTCCACGTGTCCCCTTTTCGCTAGGTCAGGCCAAATCACCCTTCATCATCTTTCACTGTGTTTTAGAATGTTAAAGGTGAATCTGGATTGTGCTGTTGTTTTGATTTTAATTTTTAGGTGTTTTTGGGCAATTTAGTCTTGAAAAGCTATTCTACACTGAGTTCCTGAATCTCTAGTGGAATATTTGAAGTTTGAAGGAGAAACTTGATAATTTGATATATAAACTTTAGATTGAGTTATGCCTTTACTTGTTTTCTTGCAGGATTCGTGAGAATTTTGGATGAACAAGAAGCTGATTGGTAATGACTTTTTTTGAACTTTTTTTGCTTTGGCGTGCTTGATCTTTGTTGTTGGTGTTTCTTTAATGGATGATATTCATTTCATTTATTTGTTATATTTTTATCTCTGAATGAGATTGTCAGACTAGTTAGTTGGATGACAAAAGGGCAAAAAAAAGGTTAAATAGGTTTTAAGAGAAAAAACGCAAAAAAATAAAATAGAAAAAGTTTAGTGAGGTATTTTGGTAATTTAACGCATTTCGTCATCTGAGTTAACGGTCAAGGGGGGTCTTTGTCTCACGGTCATAGTACATGGGGGTCTTTGTCACAAACCCCATAGTACAAGGGGTCTTTGTAATTCACCCTATCTTTTATTTCTAAAATACCCTTCCATAAAATTTTGAAAAAAAAAAAGAAAAACTGTAAGTCTACAACTGCGTCCGTTCCATAGTTCCATTATTGTCACAGTTCATTAAAAAAAAGGAAAAATTCCCAATTAATACATTGTACTTTGGGCTAGTGCCACTTTGGTATCCAAATTTTAAAATGTGATAATTCAATACCCGAACTTTCAAAACATGACAATCCAGAATCTGTTGTTAACTAATTGTTAACCAGTTGTTAAGTGACATTTAAAAAAGGCACAAATGTCCTTCAAATGTCATCTATTTTTTTTTATCAACTAATAGTCTAAAATTTTTGCCTCTTCTATTCAAGAAAATTGGGGTCACCAAAATGCCCACTCAAACGTGACCCAAACTTTCTTGAATGAAAAAGGCAAACATTTAGGACCGTTAATTTTTTGTCAACGTTTAGATGGTTTATAAAGAAAATTAATAGCAATGACCAGTTAACAACTAGTTAACGATAGATATTGGATTGCCACGTTTTAAAAGTTTGAGTATTGAATTGTTGTATTTTAAAATCCGGGGACCAAAATGGCACTAGGCCCAAAGTACAGGATATTAATCGGGGATTTTCCCTAAACAAAATGATTGTTTCAATAACAGAGACTTAAAAGTTACTACTCGTTAGGGCATCTTTCAATATAATCTAGATTTTTCCCTTTTAGGTTTCAATCAATCATAATGATCTTACAAAATGAAATTACTCTTTTTTAATCTGACTTAAGGAACTTTTTAGTTAAAAATTAAAAGTCTGTTTTTTTTTGAATATTTTAGTAAATCTCCACCTCAATTGATAAACATAAGATTAAATTGGGCATTTAAAAAAAAAAAAAAAACTAATGCATTAAGCAAATGTTTTTTATAGGGAGATGATTGGATGGAGGTAATTGCAGGATAAACTTCAAGCGATGTTTTTATGATTATCAAAAACTTTTGGGAGGTTTAGGTTTTTATATTTTACCCAAATAATTAAACCACCCTTAAGTTTTGGTAAATCGACTAAGACTTATCCTATTGTTAAAAAATTACTTAAATACCACTAAATTTTCGAATAATAAACAAAATCCTCCTTGCCATTAACACACCATTATAGTTTGCTTGCATGTAATGCCACATGATTATCAGTGATTGCGCATATGGATAGTATTCATAGTTGGTAGGAATACTTTTAAGTGATTTTTAAACAATATGGTAAATTTTAGTCTGTTTGCTAAAACACAAGGGGTAGTTTAAGTATTTTACCCTTTTGAGTCCAATCATCTAGAACTTTGATGTTAGAAGCTACATCTGATTGTCCAAGTGTAGGTTTATAACTACAAGCTTGGATATCAGAGTCCATATTTGCTAACTACAACACATAGTTGGTTGGGTGAGCATGGCCGTCAATGTGTAGTGGTCAGTAGATCCAAATTCTAAATATTATTTTTTTTAAAAAAAAAACATTGTGAAAATGCATTCTTTTACCATTCAAGTTTATTAATAATAAATGTGCATTTTATGATATTCATGTATTTTCTTTTTACATGAAGTCATTGAATTCTATGTCAATATGGTATATTTTTAATTATGTTAAGAATTGAGATATGCTTTTCTTGGCATAAGATCCTTAATCAATTTGTGGTTCAATGATTATCAAGAGGATTTCGATGATCCAAACAAATTAACACATGTTATGCTTGTATTCAAGGACGACGAATCTCAAGTCACTTGTATGGAGACACTAGAGCAAATATGTGGGTGCTTGTTAGAGAACAAGTTAACTTAATTTGACCCATTAATAGAATGATTATATATAATCTCATGTCAATAGTTGTCTTTATCGTCGCAACCATGTAAATGATCCTTAGTCTCGAGGCGTCAGGCCTCTATAGTTTAATTGTGCAAACACTTATACCCTAAAAAGGGAATTTAAACATATACAAATTGGTTATAGTGACTTGTACATGGAAGTATGTGAATGCACAAAATGAAGTATGTCACCCTCCATGATGAGGGAGAATGCCCTATGCAAATGAGATTGATGTGATTCAAGAAATCATTGGCCAAAGTAGCATGATTTATGGAAATACTTCAAAGTGTCACAATACAAGTCATCATCGATTTAGTGGACATATGGTTGAACCAATAGGATTTATAGTTTCAACATTACCATTTTTTTTATGCATTGTATAATAGAAGGATCTAACTACATTGTAACTATAGATGGAAAGGTTGAAGCTACCAATTCAAAATATTAAGATGGTAACGACATATTGCTATGCCTCTCTTATGATAAGTGCCTTCCAATGAAAAATTAATAGAGTTTTAATTCAATTCAAGTGGAAGGAGTTCCACCTTGAATGCTGAAAGAGCTTGGCATTAGTTGCCACTACCCAATAGTGTTAAACCTAAGAGGTCACACACATTAAGGGGCAAAAATCAGACAAAGTATTAGCAAATAGTCTAATCACTAAAAGGGTTTTGGTGGAAGGACCTAATTGCAATTATCAAAAAATTAAGGGTTAAGTTTTGTTAACTGCAACTAGGTCAGACTCCATATTAACTATAAAATAGGAGTGGATTCGAGCTCGAGCCTCGCCGAGCTCAACTTGCCAAGGTAGTACAAGGCTCGAGCTCGGTTTGAGCTAGAACCTTGAGCTCTAATTCGGCTTGAGTTAAAAACTCGTAAGCTCGAGCTCGACTTGAGAAATAATGTTTTATAAAAAAAATTATA